GTGGTACCAGGAACATAGGTGAAGTGAAACAGTCTCTTCTTCATGTACACTTTATTTTGACTGCTTTTCTTCAAAAATTTATCCTCCAGTGCTTTCCATAATTTACTTGCAGAAGGTTCTTTTGTGTATGGATATTTCTGCTCTCTAGCAAGGTAGGATCGAATGGTACCGCAAGCAACACGATTGATAATTCTCCAATCTTCTTCTCCAATAACATCTGGTCTTTTTTCTTCAATGGCAAGATCTAGCCCTTGTTGAAAAAGGACATCTAGAATCTCGCCTTGCCACATTCCAAAACGTCTTGATCCGTCAAAAATTTCTACCGCAAATTTCGCATTTGACACAATTCTTGTCATAAGCGAAGATGCCAATGATGACGTATTGTTGACACTTGATGTAGATTCTTCTTGTTTATTGTCTCCCATCTTTGACACAAATATTATTTAATAGCTGACGACACAAATCAAGATTATTTCCTTTCTGGTGTGGAAGATCAAACTAAGCTGCAACCACAGAGCATACTAAGACAGAACCTTGACACAGTTACAAAGATAAATTTTTTCTGATGTGGAAGATCAGATTATGCTGCAACCACAGAGTATACTTAGACAGTACCTTGGCTCTGATACCAATTGTTGCGGAAGCCAAATATATATAGTGTGAATAAGTCACAACTACTATACCAAAAATTATAACAGCCACCAAATAATAAATAAGACAATAAAGCAACAATAAAAGGAACACTAGAATTTACGAGGTTCGGCTAATTTTGCTTACTCTTCGGACACAACCAATATTTTATTCTATTCCAAAAATACAAGTGAAATAATACTAAAAAGAGAAGATACAAATGCCTTAAGAAGAAGGCAAATGAGAGGTGTGTTTAAATCCTAAACATTAAGCCTTCTTTTATAGGGAAAAAATCCCCCAACTCTTCTTTTCCCACCGATGTGGGACAAACATTTCTGCCAAACTTAACAAATGATACATTGAAATCCTTCATATACCGAAGTGCCTCTAATGATTTTGGAATCATAACTGAAAGAATGTTACTGGATAGATCCGCCGATTCCAAACTTATCATTTTTCCGAGTGATTCAGGAATAGATCCATGTAACTCATTGAAAGCCAAAGAAAGATAAATTAGTTTCTGCAAGTCTCTAACCATGGTTGGAATACTTCCTGAAAGGTGATTCCTCGACAAATCTACTACTGTTATGGCATTCAAATTTCCGAAATCTGGAGGTAAAGAACCAACCAAAGATTTATTGGAGAAGTCAAGTTTTACAAGATCTTTGAGGCTCCATAGACTCGTGGGTATGTTAGTGAGCCTATTTGACTTTAGGTAAATATTTCTCAAAGAGGCAGTATTGCCAATGCAATATGGTATTGGACCCGATATTTGATTATAAGACAAATCAACCCAGCCCGATTCCGTCAATTTGCAAAGGCACTCCGGGAAGGGTCCAGTTAAGTTATTCTGATCAAGCCATAAAACTTGAAGACTCTGTAAATCACATAATGTTCTTGGCACTGATCCAGTCAAGTCATTACCGAATAGGGACAAAGTGTTTGCGTTAATTAAATTACCAATTCCTAATGTTATTTCTCCCCTAATTTCAGTTTCCTCTAAATTAAATAGTAGTACAAGAGAAGTTGAGAGATTGCCAATGGAATCTGGAAGAACACCATTAAGAGGATTATCTGATATCACTATTTCTTTCAAAGATGTGCAGTTCGCCAAAGAAGTTAAGATACATAGGTGCGGAGATGATAAGTTGTTTTCGAACAACCTCAAACGTTCAAGATGTCTCAAATTTCCCAAAGAGTTAGGAAGCGGGCCACTGAATTTGTTACCGTTAAGATGTAATTCCTTTAGATTTAAAGAATTGGAGATTGAGCTGTGTATAACTCCATCTATGTTGTTATCACCTAGATTCAGAAAATGTTGATTTGTTTGCCAGTAGCTTGAAGCAGATGGAAGACTACCCTTATTGGAACATCTTCTTAGCGTAGAGATATTGAAGAGCTCTTCCGCTATGGAGCCACTTAGTTCATTAAATTGCAAATAAAGTTTCTCCAACTTGTGAAGGTTCCCAATCTCTTTGGGCATAACACCTAAGATTTAGATTAATGTTATTTTTAATTTTGTTTCCATGAAACCATTCAGAAAGAGTATATCTGGATGGCCAACCAACAACACATTGCTCGAAACTTACCTGTTAAATTGTTGGTCTTGAAATAAAGTATCCATAGCGATGCCATGTTACTTATGCTGCGCGGTATGGGTTTAGGGATGACAAATGGGGCGGGCAGGCCAAACCACATTTTCAGAAAATAGTAAATGGGGCAGGGCAGGGCGGGTCAAAACATATTTTCAGAAAACATAGTAAATGGGGCAGGGCAGGATTTTAGCTGCAAACTCACTTGTGTGCAGACTGCCTAAGAAATTTACTAAACTGCCTTCCATAAGTTAGCAAAGCTAGCTACTAAAGCTGCCCAGACATACACAAACATACTCACTGTGTCCAACCAAAAATCCTACGCTTAAGCAACTGTCTCAAATCCCGTTTGCATCCAATATTCTCTTCTTTTGTCAAAAAGCATCAACTCTTTGTTGGCTCTGTTGAGATTCAATATAGGCCATAATATCGTCTGCTACGTACTTTACATCTCATCTTCGTTAGTCGTTAGCTTGTTTTACTGTCTCAACAGATGCGTCTGATCCATCTGTCAGATTGTATTACAGTTTCACTTATGTTTAGACTACTACCTACCACATGAATTGATGAATTGCTAGAGGAAATGACTATTCTTCTTGAAACCTTACTACGACATTGGATGTAGAATTGAAACAAGTAAAGGGTGAGATTAGCCCCTGCTTTTCAAAACAATTAAAAACAAAACTAACAAGAATCAACAAAATGTATGCATAGAGTAAAATCATTTTTTTGTGTTATAGATAACGCCAAATGGAAAAATGATTACTCCTTACTACAAAGTTGACAACCTCCAGAATTTCATACACAGACTACAAAACCCAACAGTGTTTATTACTCATAAAAGTAGACAGACGTTACCATTATTCATCAATCAATATGCACAAACAACTCTTTCAATGGGAAGTTGAAAAGGTAAAAGAAATGATAAACATACTGCAAAATAAAAGTTAAAGAGAAAAAAATGAAAAAGGGTCTAAATGGGGCAGGGCTTAATAGGGCGGGGTGGGGCAAGGTATGGCAAAATTCTGACAAAAGGCTAAGCAGGGCAGGGCAGGGGGGTCAAAATTTTAGCGGGTCAAGGCTTGCCCTGCCTTGCCCTATTTACATCCCTAATGCCGTTGTTCTCCAAATGCAATTGCTGCAAATTTCGTAAATTACCAATCTTTGCTGGAATTTTGCCTGCAAATTAGTTTTACACAAAGCAACCAACTTGAAGTATTTAGCTTCTTGTCGACGTATGTTGTTGCTCAAATGTTAATTCTCAGATGAAAACTTTGAAACATGCCCATACTAGAAGGCTTTTGAATATGGATAAGCTTTACTTTTACCTTGCTACCTTACATTTTACCTATTTAGAGTGTAGTTTTCTTTTTCATAATTTCTTGCAAATCAAGGACTCTTCTCTCATTCACATATATAATAAGATTTGTGCATGTGTTGCATTACTCTTAGTTATTCTTAAATACCACATCTAAAGTTCAGGTTTAAAAAAATGTGATTATCCATTTTTGTTTTTGAAAAAATATGGAAATAGCTGAGTATGGGTTTATAAATTAGATGATTACATGCGTTCAAGTTTTAATTTCGGAAATTAAGCCGAAGAGAGCATATTCTAAAGGATAGACTTAGTTCAAGTCCATAGAATCTAAAAAAGAAAGCTATTGAAAAAGTTGTTCCACGTGAGATAAGTTTAAATGCATTAACATAGTTAATGATGATACATAAAACAGGGGTGACAAATGGGGTGTTTGTGTTGATGTTGGGTGGGTCAAGATGGGCTAAGTAAATAAATGGCTTATGCCCCATCATGCGAGATTTTTACATGGTTGCTCCCTTTTTAAAAATTATTCTCATAAATGATAGTAATCTTTGTTTATTCCAAAACTGGCACATTTTTTTTACTTTTTTTAGCACTTTCACGTTAGTAACTCATTAACTAAGGGATCCCTCTACATCAATACACTTTTATTACATTTCTTTTTCCCTCTCTCTTCCATAATTTTTTCTTCTCTTCCATAAATAACATTTACCCAAATATATCAAAGATTCTGAAAAAAAAATATCTAAAAAGTAATCTCCTCTTTAACAAGGTTGCACAATGGGAATTTTAGTATTTTTTTTTTCTTTAAGTTTTAAGGTTTCTAATTGTTTGGACATTTAGATCTATAATCATGTATGAAGTAATGTAACTTAAATTCAGTAAATATTTATAAAACGTACATTGTATAACCATATTTTTTTATTTAATAATTTGATATTCTATTACATTTTAGTATAATAGTTACAGATTCATCGTATCTTTCTGGAATAAATTTAAAGATTTATGTTATTTTTTAAATATAATTTATTATAATAAATTTAAAAATCCTTTATGCCATGATTTTCTCTTCCTTTTTACTAGTTTCTCACCCCGCCAACTTTAAACGTGAAGTACTCATGAGTCATTTTTATACTTTATATATAATAGTAATATTATATAATATTTAAACAACTACAATGTGCTCTAAATATATAATAATTATACAATAAATATGTGGTATATTTTATATTATAAAATTTAATATTCCGAATGTACGCCGTATATATTTATCATATTGAAAAAAATTTTATACTATGAATATCCAAATAAATATTATTTTATACTAATATTATTTAATTTATACTTCATAATATACTTATTAATAAATAAATATTAATGTATTATACAAATTATATAATATGTATAATAGGTAAATATTATAAAGATCACTTATTCATTGGAGTATGCACTATTATACAAGCATTCACAGTTATACCACCAAATAAAACGTTATCATAATTGAAATAGAGAGAAAGTACCAATAAAACCATAATTAATGACAACTCCATTATTATATGGAACGCTGAAACCCTTTGGTTTTATATTTAAGAAAATGAACACTTTAGATGCGTGATTGTAGGTAGAGGGTTAAAGCTTCATGGCTCATGCTATGAATATAATTATTTAGTTGCCTTGTATGCAAAATACTTATTGCTGTTACGTTTGTGAAATTTTTTCTTAAAATTTGTCTATTTATGTTTTTTGCCCAATTAAATATCAGTCCCAAAAATAGTTGGGTCGGATATATGTAGGGGGTGTCAAAAGTAACCCAAACCCATTTGACCCGCTTATCCCGCCGAAGCTTTTATGAGTTTGGGCTAGAACAGTTTTGAAGATAAGCTAGTTTGGGTTATTCCAAGTTAATCCATCTTAAATCATCAGCACAGATGGACCCATGATGATGCCCAACTTTGACCTATGAAAATGCTCTATCTTAGAGTTATACCTAGACACATGTTATAGCTTCAATCTCTTGTTCACTATATAGATATAGAGATACGTACTTGGCTATGCTAAAAGAAAAGATTTCAGATCTTGAATACCAGTTGGTCCGGCCATATTATTACCCAAAAAAAAATAAAAAATAGTTGTTTAGATATATGGTTCGTAGCCGTAGGTATGATTCTATATAGAAACTTCATCTTAGTGCCAATTATTCAGTTTCTGTGAAAATTTAAAAACACTTCTACAATAATTTTTCAATTTTTGCAAAATTTTTCTAAATGAAATTCGGTTGATTTTTTTGGTTTTTTTTTTCCTCAATTTTTCCACCTATCTTTTGAAACAAACGTCAATTATAATCCAACAGTTAAAACAAATGCTAATAAGTAATGATACAATTGATCAAACTTGACCGATAGATTAAGTTATGAAATTCACCCTTCTCTATCAGATTTTCATCATTAGTTATTTTCGATAATACCTGTTAATGATAATGTTTTGACATTGTAATTCTTTTTGTTCATTACTAATTACTCTGGGATTCTTCCACATCATTATTTATAGTGGCATTTGTAGGCTTTCATCACCCTATGGTGAGAATATTGTATAGATTTGTTTAAAAATTGAGAATATTGTAAAGATTTGGGTCAAGTTGGGTGGGTTGGGTTAGACCCAATATTTAACTCATCTTGACCAAACTCATCTAAAGCAAATGATTTTGTTGTATTGTAAAAGGTGTTCCCATAGTGGTTATTTTAAAAATAATTCTATGTTTCACGGAAGTTATTTTTTAAAGGTTGAAGGTTATCCAACCAAACACCATGTACGTCCTATCACCTACCTAGGACTATAAATAGAGCAGGGCTGGGGCTATTATTATGAGGGCAGAGCAACACGACTTGTTGAATTAAAATGCAATGTTACTCCTATTAACGTCACAATTTTCTATAAATAACGTATTTATGAATGCTAAAAAAGCATGCTAAATGCAAATTGAGAAAAGTACTGCATGTACCTTGCAACGAGGGTATGATGGGGCAAACTTTCGGAAAGACTTAAAGAAGACGTTCTTTTCGAATGTTGTATGATGTGTGACTTGACTGTCCATCTTTATGAGAGTCTTTGGAATAATCTTGAAGCTCGGACCCTCATGTTATCCAATAGCATATTCATCTTGGTCCACAAAATATCACTTCCATTATTATATTTATTAACAGAAAAAACACATAGTGACTTAAAAAATCAAGATGAAGAATTAATAATCAAGTTTGATCAAACCCAGAAGAGCACACTGGTCGGTGGATTACTATGTAAGATATTGCAACAACAAATTTTTACAGGTGCTCACTCTAGTGAATGGTGATACTTTACCTTCTGAACTTGGTGGAGATAAAGTTTTCATTTTTCTTCAATATTAGTTCAAAAAGTGTGCGGTATATAAGTGAATTTAAAAATTATTTTTTAATAACATAAGCTTAGATAGAAGAGATAAATTTTTCTTTGCTTGGAGCCAAGACTTCATTCCCCTACTAACACATAGCACAACAAAAAAAAGAACTATAAAATAAGTTCATACCATAGAAATTGTTTTTAAATCTCTGGCCATAGAAATTGATTTAAAGGAAAAGAAAAGTATTTTTTTTATTGAGTGTCACCCCTTTCAAGGAGGAAGATATGTATTCAATCCAATTTTGATATTGATTTGCTTTTCCTGAGCCATGTTATATATTTAATATTTAGCTAACTAAGAAGTTGGTTTTAAGCAAGACGGAAAGTTTTATATAGAACCAATGATCAATTCTTTTTTCCTATTTTGATTAACTCTTGAAAGCGAAAGAAACGAAAGGGGAAAAAAACGTTTGTTAAACGTCGTACCCTTTAATTGAAAATTTACTTAAGAAACTTTTGATTGTGGAAAAAAAAAATACCTTCTCTAATCATATAGAATGCCATGTCATATATCTTAGGCCCTGTTTTATATAAATATACAGATTAGTACAAAAAGTGTTTAGCTCAAGTCTTGATGCTTTGAGTAGATAAATTAGAATGCCAATAAGTTTTTAAGTTAGTAGAGATAAAGTTTCCAATACTAGACCATATTAAAATGCATTGTTGAGCGCTCTTGATCCTTCAAATAAATTCGAATGCGAAAGAAGCTCTTTTTTTTCCTCCAAAGTTCACTTCGACTAGAAATTAAGACATTATTTCTCATTCTCTTTGATAGCATAAAAAATTATTAGTGTATGGATTTTTTCTTTTACCTACGACTTTCGATGTGCTTCCCTTCTTGGCTCCTGCCTCACGTTTGACATGTCTCTTCGTTATTATACTTTTTTCCCCTTAAAATTTATATGTCACTTAAAATAAAGGTTTCATCTGCACTTCGATTATAAAACCACTAAACAAAAAATTTGAAGAAACACAAATTCATCTACTTTATGTAATACAATATCTATTCCTCCAAAATATTAGGAGCTTAATAATGAAAAATACCGGTGTAGCAGCACTAGAAAAAGTTGTTGGAAATTAGACGTTGAAGAAAAAGTATAACTTCATAAAAATTATGATTGTTGATCTTAATTAGCTAACTCAATTAGAGATCCCACCACGTCGTAGTATATCATCAAGTAACTGTGACAAATGCACATAAACTGATCAATTCTTACTACAGATAGCGACTCCAAGAACATATCTTAGACCATAATGAGGCCAGTCATTAAACATTTGAATCCCTAATTATCAGTGATTTAGATAGAGAACTATCCTAGGAATGATTATGAAACACATACAAGAAAAAGCACAATATAAATGATTATGAAACACATACAAGAAAAAGCACAATATAGCATGTTGGAATTGCTACATTTAGCTAATATGCCTGTTAGCTCTATCTAGCCTTTTCTCCGATAGAATTGAAGCCTTAGCTTCCTTTTCTCCTTTCATTGATATATAGGGGACAGGCTTGAAGCCCTTAATCGATACAAGGCTCTCAGTATAGTAGGAAACTGAATGAATAAAACATATTCCCATTATCCTCCTTTGTTTTGCTCTCAGGTTGAACAAGAACGGTTGATTTGGAGCATTTCCAAATACTATATCTCCATTGTTCAAACCCCAATGTCTAGTAGAATCGAAACCCATGCCAAATGTGAATTTTTTTCCCCCATAGACCCTCTCCACGGCTACCACCTTCAATCACCCAAACCTCAAGATACTTCTTAAATTCATTGTGAGAAGAGTATGCAAGTGACCCATGATAGTTCATGGACATAGAACTGTACAGGAATAATGCTGAACACCTCACTCCTCAAATCAAACGAGGCAAGAACAGTTTTACGAGGTTCATTCCTGTTTCTAACAACCCAATAAGTAAACCCTTTAACAATTGCATCACAGATGCAGGTAGTCACATTTAATCGAACAGCAGGATTAACTTCTCTCCAAGATTCCAATTTGGTCGAATAAACCTCAACTATAGTCGCTTGACTTCCTTCATAGTAGTTTAGATAACCTTATAATCATCAGAATTCTGTTCATACCCAAAACTCACACAACATTTGCGCGTCTTTTGCAGCTTAATATTGTGCATGGGGAGCAGCTTGGTTTGATGTATCAACGGGTTCCATAGGCAAATCAATTTACAAACACTTGTGCTTAGACAGACTAAGGCATTGATTGAACCTACAACAAAATAATCAGATCTATATATAGGGTTCAGTAAGCTTTATGAAGCAGCTTGGATTTCGTACAGGGATCAAACCATTAGTTTCCCTAGTCTGAACAAGGATATAGCGGTCATCAGGGTCTGAACTCTGAACTAAATACCTTAAGGTGCACAGAGATGAACCAGGGGGCCGAAAGCAGAGTGCGCCGGCATTTACATATGCACTTTAATAGCAGTAGAGTTTTAACTGTTAATCTTAAGAAAATATCCACAATAATTTCTTCTGCAGGAACCGAAATATTGGATTCTTGTCTTCTATTCTGCATATTCTCATAAAAGAAAAGGCGAGATAATGGAAGTCATGATAGAGTAGCTAGAATGTAAAAATTGGTGGAGGATCAACGAGTCTAGGGTCTTGCAGGATCACTGGCCAGTAGCCATTCTTTAGGTGCGCCGCTGAAGCGTTAAATGTGCTTCTATTTAGCAAATAGAGTTTGATTGAGATAAAACAGAATCAAAAGGAGCTCTGGCCCGCAACGAAACTAAAATGAAATTAGAGTGTGGTGAGATGGTTAGACTACAACAAAGGTCTTGGCCTCTTGGGTCAAGTCATAAAGATAGATTATCTCTCGTTATAGAGTGTTTTATCTCGCCTAGTGGATTCGCTTACTATGAATTCCAATTAGTCGAATTAATTGACTCATAATGTCAAATGATTAAATGGTTAAGAAAAGAAAAAGTGAAGAAGAAGCTAGTGGAAGACTTTAAGCGTGATTGAGTACTTGGCATCTTTCTGGTACCAAAATTTCAAAATTGGATGGCACCACCAAAGGCCAATGGAACACCTTAAGCAACTGCGTATTTTTGCTATAGAGAAGAATCCTCATCTCAAAACTCAAGTGAAAAGTTGGCTGGATTATATATAATATATAATCTAGTGGAAGATATCTTTATATCCACAAAAGAAGTCAATATTGATGGATTCAAGGTTCAAGCTAAGTTAGACAGAGATTTCCCACTAAGCTGAGGAAAATAACCATGGATTGGCCACTGTCCTAAAAGTTGATTCTAATTTGCGAGAGGTTTCCACTAGCAAATATATTAGATGGTAAGACTTTACTTTGAGACGGCAAAAGTTTGACATTTCTCGTATGAGGCATCAGATTCACTATGACACTGCTTGAAATTCAGTGCTTTTGAAAGACTAGTAGTTTTGTTTCTAAAAAGTAATGTAGTAATGGTTAAGTATATAATGGAATGTTAATTAAATTCGTAAACAATATGATAAACAAACATTTCTATTAAACACTATGAAATAAACATTTGTATTAAATCTGAATGTCCCACTATTAATCTGAAGTTTACATGAGTAATTATTTCAGATTACTTTTATAAATTAGTTTTTAAAAAATAAAAGTTTGTCTGGAAAGAATATTTAAAGAGTACTTGGTCGAACACTACTATATACAAAAACTGGGCAGAAGTTTTAGTCATCCATTGACAGGTAGTATTTCATCCATCTCAATTTGTTCGATGTGCTTATTTGATCCATTATCTCATCAAACTTGACGAATTCAACTTATTAAATTAAAATTTAACTATTCAAAAACTACATAAAGGTATTATAAGTTTAAACTATACTGGTATTAAAATGTTAAAAAAAAATAGAAAGAATTACAAGAAAATACATATGACTTCACACCATAACAAAAAAATGGCCAATGTTTTTAAGTTTTACCCCACCTAGCCCACATTGTACATATTTTGAAAGTACTTGCAAATTCAAAACCCGTGTTCTTACAACTATTGCTTCTAAAAGCTATGGAGTTAATTCTTCGTTCTCACAACCATTGCTTTTACTCTCTCTTCTTCTTACATCTTCTACATATGCTTCAAGGGGCCGTGTATTTTCTGCTTCTCCTCTTGCGTCACCTACTTGCAATGTAAAAAAATTGAAGAGTAGAAGTACATCATTGAAGACCATTCAAAGCTTTGCTTTTGAAAATGGGGTATTTTTTGAATTTGTTAGTTGTTATTGGGTGTTGTTCCAATTGATTGAAAATATCAAAAGAATTTCAACATTCAAATTTGAAGTGATTTGGAGTAGATTTGAGCAAGATTTGAGTTAAATTTCAGAAAAGACGCAAGGAAGAAGACGAAATCAGATTTTTTGTATAATTATGTATAATCTTGTATAGTAATGTATATGAGTGTAGAAACACACCTTATACACTATTATACACTTTTATACACCTTTATACAAGCATCTGTAGACGAACTTCTTCCACGATTTTCAGTTGCAATTCTTGTTCAAAACCAGTCCAAATCTCTATTAAATGACTTCAAATTTCATATACAACATCCTTATACTATTTCTAACATGTCTAAATAACATCCACTCCAAATTTCTCATAAAATCAAATTAGGAATTTAAATTCACATATTTAAGCTTGTTAAAAATCTAATTTTCACCAGTCAAATGTATTTGGTTTGTTGAATTAGTATTTGAGTCAGAGTTACTGGTTCGAAAATTAATTTAAAAGTTTGAGGAATCTTTTTTAGAAATTAAATAGTAATTTTGAGAACCTATTTGAGTTGGATGTTGAATCTTAGCCTATTATTTTTGGGCTAGTTGGTTGTAAATTGAAATATGGGCTATAAAATTAAAAAGTATGGAGCTCAATTGTTCTAGGGGAATTTGCATCTATACCTGATTTTTATTTGATTTTATATCTTACAATCGATGAGAAGATTGTAAGATAACTTTTCATTTCTTTCCTGAGCATTGGAATAATACGTTAAGTAGCATAGACATAAAATCACCCATTGGTCTGGTGATAGAGTAGACTCATTATGAAATAACTTAGAATAGTCAAGTAGTTTTTTAATGGAATTGTATTCCCTTAGACTTACTGTCAAGTGATTTTATATGTACAATTGACCAAAATGGGAGCTTAGAGCATTTGTTCCGTCGATTTAGAAAAAGCCCATGCATATGGGAACGAAAGGTGAATGGAGGGGTGCTCCAACTTGTTATTCTAGATGTCGGAAGTTTAAAGATTGGATTGAGGAATGTAAACTCATTTGACAAATAGCCCATGCAGGACTTGTTCGGAACTATTGGAATGGAAAAACATGATTAAAAAAAAAAGAGAACGAGAAAATTAAACAAATGTGACCATATAGCCATGCTACATGGTAATTTCATTAACCTGTTGGACAATATAACCATGCTATCTCTAACCTCCTACCAACTCCATTTAAGTTCACATAATGAACTTGGTGTGAAATTTAAACTGCTATACTGAGAGGTAAGACTACCTGAAGAAGCATCATAGACATGTATCCTTGAGAGGAAACTTAATATTGAAAGAAACTGTCCATTAATTTCTTCTCCTGATATTTGACAAAAACATGTTACCAGTCTAATTATGAGTAGAAATGAAAGAACGAACTCAAGGTTATAAGTAAAGAATTCTGAAATACCTGAAGTTCTTGGCTTGAAACAGCATGAGGTTGAAAGTCGGGTGATAGCATCTCTCTCCACCACAGCAAAGGCATGTCCTTTGTTGTAGTGTGAATCCCATAACAAGCTATATCAACATAACTCTATAAAGATGGTTGTCAAGGACTAATTATCACATAGTTGACAACTTCACATAAATCAATTATTTTCACAACCAAACATCCATTAATTAATAAATCCAGCTGCATAAATCAATAATAACTAAATGGTTTCTCCTGGAGCAGGAAACTAACTGAATAGAACTTAATCTAAAGAAAAAAAAAGGATAATAACACTATTCCAACTACACATTAGATCCCATTATTTTAGTTTACAGATAACAAAGAATTACACAATTAAACATGAAGCACTATCATATTTTTTTGGGGTATAGCAGGAAAAGTTAACACAGTCCATAGCAACGTTAAGCAAAAGCTAGACAATCAAAGAATTAGCCAACAAATAGTTTGGATTACCTAGCAAATGAAAAGGTCTATGGGGTGATAGGCTAATCTTCAGTAGCTCTATCTTCTAAAAACATAATATCAACACCTCCAACACCACATTTATCCTTCATGTCAAGAACAAAATTACCATTTGACATTTTCTTCAATGTGCTCTTAATCACTACCCTGAACTTTTATTCCTCCTCTTTTGGCCAATACAAATACCCTCAGTTCCTTTCACTACTAACAAAACAAACTGAAACAACAAAATAACAATAACCCTTAAAGAAAAAACAAATAAATACCCAAAAACTACCAATGTTCGCGCTTCTGCTACCAAGAAAATAACAACCCAACTTTTATGAGTAACATAGAATTACTACTCAATTTTGCTAGAGAAAGAGATAGAGAGAGAGAGAGATTGGAGAGTGCTGTCAAGACCGCGAATCAAAAAATAGTTTATTAATTTTTTCGGAGGCCGACAGAAGTTAAGCATTGGACTGAAAACCCTGAATCCCGCTGACTCCTCACGTCAAATTGTAATTGTATGAATTTCTTTTCGTTCCTATAGATTTTCAACTGGGTCAGAGAAATTGTAGGTGAAATATGTGAAAATCCTATGTGAAATCGTTGACATTGTCATTATCGCTAACTGTACATACCACGGAAAAGGAATTTGAGTTTAAGATTGGAGTATATACTTGATGGAGTCACATTTTCTGATTAGGGCTTTTGTGTTGCTATCAGATGGGTTGCAATTTGTGATTTAAACAGTTAGATTCGTGAGATTTGAGCAGAGAGGAAATTGAGTGGGGAACATTTCTAGAGAGAAACGAGGAAGGAGAAGAAGACCTAACCAGCCTCTGTTTTTTTCTTTTCATCTAATATTAGGAGTACATTTTTTATATGTTTTTATTAGTGTTAGAAGCGACTGAGTCGCCACATAAAGACCTTCAGAGGCGACACTATAAAAGTCGCTACAAAACTTTGAAGCCAAAATTTCGATTTTAGCGGGAATGAAAAATTCAGTGTTTAGCTGAACGTATTAGAAGCGACCTGAGAAAAGTCGCCACTAAATGTTTACCTTCTGCAGCAACCTTTATAGTCGCCACAAAAAGACTAGCATTTGTTGCAACAAATCAAGTCGCCACTAAATATTGCCACAATAAGTCTGATTTCTTATAGTGTAAGCACTTAGTGAAAATGTCAGCTAACTAGGAATCAGTAGGAATCAACCTCAGTATGTTTTGTCCTCTTGTGGAAAACAGGATATTTTGCTATATGAATAGCAACCTGATTATCGCAGAAAACTGGAAGAGGAGTAGACACATGTAAACCCAAATCAGACAATAAACGAACCAACCAGGATAATTCAGCAACCACCTTGTTCATAGCCCGATATTCTGCTTTAGCAGAGGATAAGGAAACCACATGCTATTTTTGGATTTCCAACTAATAAGACTGTCACCCAAAATGTACAAAAACCACTAACCGAACGATGGGAATCGGGGCAGGCAGCCCAATTGCTATCACAATAGCCAACCAAAGAGAAATCAGCACAATTATTTAGAAAAATCCCAACATCAAAAGTTCCCTTTAAGTAACCTTAGAACATGCAAAGCTACAGTCATGTAAGGGACCCTAGGGGACTGAAGAAATTGGCTAAGGCGTTGAACATCAAAGCAAAGATCAGGGTGAGTGTGGGTAAGAAAATTGAGCTTGCCAATGAGGCTTCTATATGTATCAGGTCTAGGTAAAAGATCACTAACATCAGAGTGCAACTTTACAATTAAATCCAATGGACAAACAACAGAAGACAGTTCAGTACAATTGAAAAGAGCTAGTAAATCAGAGATAAACCTCCTTTGATGCAATAAAACTCCTGAAGAATGATAATGAAGCTCAATACCCAAGAAATAATAAGAAGGCCCAAATCTTTAATTTTAAATTGATCATCCCGAAAACTTTTCAATGCAGCAATCTCAACCAAATCATCTTCAGTTAGCATGATGTCATCGACATACACAGCAAGAAACATAGTGGATTGGGTTGATTTCTTGACAAACAAGGAATAATCATTCAAAGAATAGTTATAGCCTCTAGAACAAAAGGCTTGTGACAATTTCACATACCTTTGTCTAGAAGCTTGCCGCAAACCGTACAAAGATTTATTCAATTTGCACACCAAATGGGGAACAGAAGCAGAAGAAGTATAGGTAACAAACAATCCTTGAGGAAGCTTCATATACATTTCTTCATCTAAGTCACCATGTAAAAATGTATTATTAACATCTAATTGGAATAGGGACCACTTTTGTTTGACTGCATAAGATATAAGGCATCGTATAGTACACATTTTAACCATAGGAGAAAAGGTCTCATGAAAGTCAATACCCTCCACCTGAGTATTACCCCTTATGACTAACCTTGCTTTATATCGCTCCACACTCCCATCAGCTCTACATTTAATTTTATATACCTATTTACAACCAATTGGTTTCTTCCCTTTGGGAAGTTCAACAGTGTCCCAAGTCTTATTAGTTTCCAATGCCTCAAACTCCTTCCTCATAGCATCTTGCCAAGCTGGACTGGCAGCAGCCGGAGCATAAGAGTGAGACTCAACTGCTGCAAGAGGAGCAATAGAAGTAGAGCTAGTAGAGGAGCAAGAAACAGAAGGAAGAAGGTTAACCACATAGTCTTGAAGATAAGAAGGAAGATTATGAGATCTGGTAGATTTTCTGACTATAGGTAGAGTTGAAACATTAGATGGGACAAGACAAGATGGACCAGAAATAGGAGAGGAAGAATCAGAAGCAAGGGGAGGAGAAGAAGAAGAAGAGGAAGAAGAAGTATCAGACAGGGCAGAAGGAAGATTGATTGGAGGTTCATCAAAATAAGTAGGTGGAAAGGAAGGAAGAGAGGAAGGAGAAGAGACAGAAGAATTTAGTTGAAAGGGAAAGATAGACTCATGGAAGATGACATCCCTAGAGATAAAAACAGACTTGGTTTGAAATTATAGAGTTTGGACCCTTTTTTGCCAAAAGGATAACCAATAAAAACACACGGGATAGCCCTAGGTTGAAACTTAACTCTGTGGCATTTGGGTACTGTTGCATAACACAACCAACCAAAAGACTTCAGATGACTATAAGAAGGAGTTTTGCCATATAAAATTTCAAACGGGGTCTTGTTAGAGACAACAGGTGAGGGAAATCTATTTATCAGGTAAGTAGTTGTGAGGACACAATACCCCAAAACGTTGTTGGAATTTTAGATTGGAATAATAAAACTCTAGATGTTTCTAGTAGATGTCTGTGTTTTCTTTCAACAATACCATTTTGTTGAGGTGTGTATGGACATGTAGTTTGGTGTAGAATTCCATTGTCAGAAAAAAAAATGGCAAGATAAGGATGAGAAACCAAGCTCCAGGGCATTATCACTTCTAATTGTCTGTACATAAAGGTTAAATTGTGTTTTAACCATGGCAATGAATTCTTTAAGAAAAGTAAATGCATTGCTTTTGGAACTCATTAAGTGTCCAAGTAGTTCTACTAAAATCATCCACAATTGTTAAAAAATATCTAGCACCAGAATAAGTTTGGGTATGATAAGGCCCCCATGTATCAATGTGAACAAGCTGAAACAAAGAAGTAGACGTAGATGTACTATCAGGAAAAGACAATCTAGTTTGTCTATCTAGAGGACAAATGGGACAAGTAATAGACTGCTTAACAGACAATTCACAAGCAACAGAAGGCATACATTTCATTTTTACAAAAGGAATATGGCCCATTTTATGATGCTAAAGTATATCAACGTCATTTATATGTTGCTTAGAAGAAACAGAAGAGGCAGAAGAAGAAGATACACTCTCATTTAAGTTGCATATAGGCTTATTCAAAGAGGAAACATGACTATCATATATAGACTGCAGAACTGTCACGACCCCAAACCGGCCCGGTCGTGATGGTGCCTCTCGTGAAGACAAGGCCAGCCGACACAACACTCACATTAACCCTTTAAGCATTAAGAGTCATTTTTAAGTCTTTAATTTAACAATGTTTCATAATAAAATCCTGAAATAACGGTGCGGAATAAAAATACCAGCCCGACATCGGGGTGTCACTGGTCATGAGCAACTATCAAGGTCTGAATACAACAAAAGTCTAGAAATATACTAAATACAGTAAAAACAATGAGGGGAAGGAAGCGATGCTGTGAACGTCATGCAGCCACCTTGCTAACTCTGATGACTCCGCGGCTGAGCTATCAACACCCGATACCGGGTTCGGATATACCTGAATCTGCACATGCGGTGCAGAGAGTAATGTGAGTACTCCAACCCAGTAAATAATAAGAGTAAATAAAGGCTGAGCAGTAGAAAACAATGAATCCACATTCACGTTAGGCTCAATAAACACAACAGGCCTTCAAATCATAATACGAGTCAATCTTCCCTTTTAAAATCCAGCTTTTAGTAAAAATCATTTTAAAATACTTTCCAGCAGTTTTGGTAGGGGTTCAATACCATTTAAGATAATAATAGAGATTAAAGCCATAATCAGCCCCTCGGGCAAAACATAGTATGTAAAACATCCCCTCGGGCAAAACAGTAATCATAAACACTTCATAACTTAAAAATCTCAGTAGAAATAACCAATGCCAAATCAGTGATTAATTTCTGAACATCTCATAAACCCTAGTTTAAATAAAAGTTTTTTTACAACATTTGTTCAACTTTCCGACAGAGGCTCAGTATAAAGATGAGTGAAAATAATCGATAAATCAACATATTTGATAGAAATTCACTTTAAAGAGGAGTGAAATCAATAAGTCCATAAACAAGCCTCTCAGGCAAAACACCACTCATATGCATGTATATATCTATCGCCTCTCGGGCTAGCCTCTCTGTCACTCGTGACTCAACTCTTACCAATTAGTGCTCGCACTCAGCATTCACGCTCAATTGGTACCATATAGTAATCGCTGCGGCGTGCAGCCCGATCCGTATATCTCTCACAATAACTGAAATCAAAGTAACCGCTGCGGCGTCAGCCCGATCCATGCATCGCTGTGGCGCACAGCCCGATCCATATAAATAGTCGACTGTGCTCACTGGGGGTGTGTAGACTCCGGAGGGGCTCCTACAGCCCAAGCGCTATATTACTGCGGCGCGCAACCCGATCCATATAAGTATCGCTGCGCCATGCAGCTCGATCCATATACATATATATATACATTGCTGCGACGTGCAGCCCGATCCATAGATATATAATCCTCACAACTAGGCCCTCGACCTCTCTCAGTCATTAACCTCACTATCAGACTCTCAGTCTATCTCAGTCATCAATCTCACAATCAGACCCTCGGTCTATCTCAGTAAAACAGGGAACTCAGCCCAAAACAATTTCCACATGTTAAGAATATAGTGATTAAGCCATATTTGAGCAGTAAACAGGTAAAACATGACTGAGAATATGCTTTCAAACAATAGAGTGAGGAAAGATAGTAAAAATGCCCCTAAGGGTCTCAACAAGTCGGCACAAAGCATGGCTTACAACCCAAAAATATAATAATGTCAAACAATTAACTATCAAATACGCATTAAAATTTTTGTTCGGGATGGACTAGGTCACAATCCCCAGCGGTGCTCTACCCCACGCTCGTCATCCAGCATGCAAGTCACCTCAAAGTAACACAACGACGTATAATCCGAGGTTTCAAACCCTCAGGACAATATTTACAATCATTACTTACCTCGATCGGTCCAAAATCTAGCCCGTGATGCCTCGCCCGCATGAATCGACCTCCGGATGCTCCAAATCTAGCCACAATCAGTACATAATCATTAAAATATGCTAAGGGAG